GGGACGGGGTGGGGGGTGGCCGGGAGGCGGCGCTGGGAGCCCTCAGCTGGTTGCGTGTGAGGAGGAGTGACGCCGTGGGGAGGAGGGGAAGCCCCGTCCCTGCCCCGAGCGCTGGTCACGCGCGTTGCGGCGCCGTCGTCCAGGAGAGACGCCCGCAGGCGCTTTGTGGTTGCGTTTAGGCGCCTCCCTTGGGCGCTCAGCCAAAACCGACTGGGGTGGAATTTCTGCCTCTTCCCACTGGGTCACCAAAGACCAGGCTGTGGGGGAGTCACCTTCCCACCCATGGTCCCCCCCCACCCCGCCCTGCCATTGTGTTGCCCGGGGTCTGCCTCTCTCCTTGGGGTAGCAGGCTCTGCTGCCTCCCCCTCTGTTCCCAGCTTGGTGGCTCTTGGCGGCAGCCGCAGGATGTGTGTTCGGTGCGGGTGGGTTTTTTTTTTTTGCTCGACAAATTTTTAGCCCGTGTGTTTGGTATTTTTTGGGAGACCATCTGGCAACCCTAGTAGCAATCACTCTCCAGAATGTGAGCTGGGGCTGAAGCCGGCCAGGCTGCCCGGCCCTCCAGAGTGCGTCCCAGCCGGCCAGCTGCTGCCACCTTGCCTCAGTGCCGGCTCTCTGGCCCTGCCTCACCCTTGCCAACAGAGAAGCTGGGTGGCTGCCTCTCATGATAGGCCCCTGGCTGGTTCCCCAGCCCCAAACTGCACCTTGGCACTGCCAGCTCCTCCCAGGTGCGTACGTCCCTCGCCTGCTCCGTGTCTCTCCCTCCGCACCTGACCACCTGCTTGTGGCGCGCGCTTCCTGTTCCCGTGCCGAGAATTCCCCCCGAGCGTTGCTTCCCCCACCGGGGCGCTATCCAGCTCCCGGCCTGGGCCCCCTCGGCCTGGCGGCACCATGGAACCGGCACGGCCCCTCTGGAGCACTTGCCCCTGCCACATCTGCGAAGGTGTTTCCAAGGACCACTTGCTGCGAGCTGAGTGCAGCCTGGGAGGTCCTGGCGAGGGCCAGGGAAGGGGCTGTGCAGTGAAGACAAGTCCTTAGGTGGCAGCTTAGCAAAACAAAGGCCCAGAGGCAACTTGATGCTGGTCTATCGAATCTGTGTCCGGCGGGAGCTCTTTCATCTCGCGGATATGGGCAAAATAAGAGCCAGCGGCTGGAAGAGGGACAGATTTGAGCTGGAAAGGAGAGGCGATGGAATGAGCCACGGGGAGAGCTTGCCCAGGGATGGGGTGGATGCTCGGTCGCTTGACTTGTTCAATCAAGATGGGATGCTGTTTGACCCGACGCGGTCGAGCTTACGCTCCGGCGGGAGCTCTTTCATCTCGCGGATATGGGCAAAATAAGAGCCAGCGGCTGGAAGAGGGACAGATTTGAGCTGGAAAGGAGAGGCGATGGAATGAGCCACGGGGAGAGCTTGCCCAGGGATGGGGTGGATGCTCGGTCGCTTGACTTGTTCAATCAAGATGGGATGCTGTTTGACCCGACGCGGTCGAGCTTACGCACAAGTTGGGCCCATGGCAGTGGCCTCTCCCCACTTTGAAACCTGCACTGCAGTTTACCCTGCACCGCCTCGCCCGGCCGGCACAGCTGTGGGAAGGTGAGTTTGGTTCCGTTCCGGTTTGCACAGCAGTAGGGTTGCAGGCTCCGTTTGGACTGGAAGCTCTTCTCCGTGGATGGCGTAAGACAGGAGTTGTTCTTACCCCTCCCCTCCCCCCATGCTATAAAACCTCCATGGCTCACCTGGGCCACAATACCGGGTTTTCTGCATATAACAGCCAGGGCTGGCATTAGGGGTTAGCAAGCAGAGCAGTTCGCCCTGGGGCCACCGTGGGCCCCACAAAGTTCAGTTGCTCAAACCTGGGTGGCGGGGCGGGAGTCCCGGGCTTAATGCTGGCCTGTTTGGCAGACCCCCTGAAACCTGCTCATGGCCCCTAGATGGGCAAGGACGCTGGGTGGTAAGGGGGAGAAAGGACGTCGCTGATTTCTAGAGTCCGGACAGAGTGGGCAGGGCTGGCACATTTTAGCTTGTGCTCTGAAAATTCTTGAGAGGAAATGTTGATACATTGTCTATATGGACTCATAGGCTACGTCTAGTCTATGGAGGTTTTCCAGGTTACCAGAGGTATCCCGGAAAAACTCTGCCACGTCCAGGGAATGCGTCTGCGCTTCCGACATTTTTTGCGGAAGAGCAAACGTGCTCTTTCAGAAGCACAGTCTTCCTCGTGCCACAAGAAAGAAGGGCTCTTCTGAACGGAAGTTTTTCCAAAATTTGGCCCCGTGTAGACAGGACAAAACTATCGGAAAAAGGTACGCAAATTGTGGCACATAATTTGCGTACCTTTTTCCAATAAAAAGCGGCAGTGTAGACATAGCCATAGCGACGCTGGGCTGGAAGAGCCCTCGAGCGGTCAGCCCGCAGTGCGGAGGCAAGATAAAATTTACCGGGACCCATGGTAAAATCTCTGTGGAAATCTCCACAGGAGACTCAGTGTGAACAGTGAGACAAAGCCCAATTCCAGTCCATAACGTTGGCACCTGGGAGAGTTTGGATCAACCCGTTTTGGGTGTCCACCTGGAGACGCCGGGGGCTGATTGTTAGAGGAGCTGAGTTCCCACAACTCCCGCTGGCTTCCACCGACTTGTGGTTGCTCTGCGCCTCCTCACAGGGACGCCCTCAGTGTCATTTGGGGCGTCCAAATTTCGTGGCTGCTTGAAAAGGTGACCAAGATTTTCCAACGTGTCCTGAAAGGGGCGTGATTTCAGGACGGGCCAAGCTGCCGCCCTCTGGAAACCCACTCCCTTCGCTGTGCCCCAAATTAGGCCTCCAAAATCTGCAGCAACCAGAATCCCTGGGGCCTTGCGGAACAGCCCGGCGGGATCAGAACCAAAGCAGCAGCCAGTTCCTGTCAGGAGCTGCAGCATTTCCCAGTGGTTCTCCACCGCGCGTCTCTTCCTGGTTGTCCTCTCTCCCATGATGTCTGCGGAGGGGTTAGGAGGCCTCTTGCCCCGGGCGGTGGGATGTCGCTACTGGACCCTGAGGCGGGAAAGAGAAGTGCAGACTTCCGGGCTGGCTTGAGGGACAAGCGGTGGTTTGTACAGCTCATCTTTCTCCTCCTTTCAGGGCTCCAGGATCATCTGCCCACGGGAGAAACCAGCCTGGTGGGAGAACGCAGGAAAGCAAGAACATGACAGGCCACAGCCTCCAGCTGTCTCCCAGTGAGGAGGTACCGGGGTGTGTCCCTTCCACTGGGGTGCCATCCGCGGTGCCCCTCAGGGGCTAGGCCATGGAAGACGGACCATGTCTGCCCTTCTTTGTCTCAGGCACCTTCTGGAGAGGGTCTGGCTGCTCAGCCCATCATGCCTGGCCTGTTTCTGACCTGGGATAGACGGGGCTCCTCTTGATCTCACCCTGTAACTGTCCGTGCAGGGCGAGTCTGGGTCCGGCGTTCCCTACCCTTCCCCGTGGCAGTAGACAAGAAAGAACTTGTGTCCCCAAATCTGAGCGTGGCCTTGTCCCGGAGCCGCCATGAGTCATAGCCCCAGCTCCCGCCTGGCCGACTCACCTCAGCTCTCCAAGACCAGCCTCCTCCACATCCTGGGCAGCCCCCAGCCCGAGGCGATGAGCCTGCCCGACTCCATGCCCCCCACCCCGCAGAGCGGGACCCCCTCTCCAGGCCCGCCCCAGCTCCCGCTGCTGGGCGCTGTGTGCCTGGACGGCGACTGGGAGAGCCGGGAGGAGCTCCGGCTGCGGGAGCTGGAGGAGGCCCGGGCCCGGGCGGCCCAGATGGAGAAGACCATGCGCTGGTGGTCGGACTGCACCGCCAACTGGCGGGAGAAGTGGAGCAAGGTGCGGGCGGAGCGCAACAAGGCCCGGGAGGAGGTGCGCCAGCTGCGGCAGAAGCTGGAGACCCTGACCAAGGAGCTGACCAGCCTGCAGCTGGAGCGGCAGGGCCAGCCTGAAGCGGGAGCGGCAGGAGGTGCTGAGCGAGAAGGAGCAGCTGGGCCAGGAGGTGGCGCGGCTGAAAGGGGAGGACGAGGAGGAGAAGGAGAAGGAGAAGGAGCTGGACAACAGGCTGGCCTCGGAGAAGGAGGCCGAGGGCTCCCAGGAGCAGGAACCCGTTCGGGATGTGGGCTCCGACAAGCTGAGCAAAACCAAGGTGAGATGGGAGTGGCCGGGGCTCGGGGGGTGGAAGGACATTCCAATACCCCCGCGCAGGCAGGGTGCACAAATGCATGTGCCTGCAGGTGGACATGGCATGGTCCCGTGAACACGGCCCTGGGCTGGGAACCAGCCAGCTGGCTGAGTAAGTCCCAGCCCTGCTCTGTGCCTCAGTTTCCCCATCCGTGATTTAGGAGGGTTCCGATGAACTTGGGGGCAAAGCAGGGTTTTACAGGCTGTAACATTTCCAGTCAAGGAGCAAATGTATTTGCCCCATGGTGGCTAGTGAATAGCCCTGTCCCTGCTAGAGGAGCCGGTGCAGGTTGGGGGCTGTGCCCCGAGTCCATGCGAAAGCTAGCTCCCAAAGACGCAGCTCAGATCCTCCTCTGCACCCAGATGATCAGAGAGACCAAAGTCAGAATCCTCGCTGGCTGGGGATTATCCCAAGTCCACTCACATGCGGCACGCAGACTATACTGGGATAGTCTCCTGGTGGTTATGCCCAGAGCCCTGCACGGATACAAAATTTGTATCCATATCTGCATCCATAGCTACAGCTGTGCACGCAGATACCCACGGACATAAAGCGGATATCCGCGGATTTACAGGGCTGGAATTATACCCGGAGCCTGCTCCAGGTTCGTCTGCACCGAGGCAGGGGTAGCATTTTCCTAGCGCCAGGCAGTGTGATGTGTCAACCCTAAAACCAAAAGCCCACTCCAGACGGGGACAAGAAATAAAGCTGTCGTGGAAGCAACACCGAGTCTCTGAGAGAGCTTCACTCCACTCCGGGTTCTCCTCCTTCCAGGTGCTGCATCCTGAGCCCGTTCCCAGGGGGCACAGACTATCCCCTTCACCCATGCAACCCACTAACTGTAAGGCCTCTCCCAGCTGTGGGGGGCTGGCTAACTCCCCCGGTGTCTGAGATCTGGAAGGGCAGCCAGAGGAGAAACCTCAGACTGGAGTTTTGTGACCCCTTGATCCTTCCTCCTCCAGGGTGCGTCTATACTTACTGGAAGATCGACCAGCTGGAGGTGGATCTTCTGGCATTCCATTGAGGGGGTCTAGTATCGACCCGTCAATCGAACGCCGAGGGCCGCTCCTGCCGGTGTCCAATACTCCTCCTTTCGCAAGGAGTAAGGGAAGCTGACTCCAGCTGTGCATTTTGCCTAGCTGGTGTTGTGTGCCTTACGCCGACCTTCCTGGTCTAGTGTCGATCAGGCCCTAGAGACAAGGGAGCGACCTACAAACAAGCATCAGGTCAGCTGGCCAGCTGTGTCCTGCTTGTCAAATTGCTGCTTGCTAGAGGTGTGCTGATGTCTGGCGGTGAAACCCGTCGCTGTCCACGGACGTGTGTTTGCCAGGCTTTGTTTGCCGACGTTTGGAAGTTACACGTAGTGGGAGAGGCGTGGGGGGACGACACACAAAGTCATTACCACGCCCTGAAAGGCACACCATTGGGACTGTTTCCTGACGGAGCAGGGTGAACAATAATAGATACAATGGATTGGGATTGTGCCGAGGGGCTGTACCGAAAGAAACGCACTTGCGTGGTGCTGTGAATTAGAAGCAAAGGCCGGTCTGAATGGATCGGGGGCTGATGACGCACAGGCGCCAAAACCAGAACACTCAACGACAGTTCCCACAGGGACTGGGACTGGCCGTGTCGTTCCCCACCAATTCTGCCTGGCACGAGTTTCTGCGTGGCGCGTGCAGAGTGTCTGAGTGGTGTGTGGAGAGGGGCGGGGGCCATAACGAACCACCCGACACCCGGGGCTCTAAAAGCTCAGCCATGACATGGCGGTCACATAGGTTTTTGTATGTCATGTCCTTATGCTCCTTAGTCAAACAGCACAGATGCCGTTTCAGGCAATGTGGCCTAGTGGCTAGAGCATTGGGCCTGGGTTCAGGACACCAGCGTTCTACCCTTGGCTTGGCCGCTTTGGGCAAGCACTTCCTGGTCCTCGGTTTTCCCATCTGTAAAATGGGGGTAAGGAAATTGCCCTCCTTAGTAAAGTGCTGGGAGCTCTACTGACAAAAGTTGGGGATTAGGCAGAGGCAGTGTTAATAAATAAATGTCCACGTTTGGGCACTTCCCATTCAGGTTTCCCGGGTGCAGGCCTGCGAGCGCAAAGAGCAGTGGTGCTGGGTAGGGGCGACAGTTCCTTGCCCCGTCTGTAGACCAGGGATGGGATTTCCCTGGCCAGGGTGGTTGGGAGGCTCCATGTGCTTGGAAGACAGCGGGTCAGACCCCCAGTGGGTGGGAAGTGGTGGAAGACCACTCCAAAGCACTATTTTACTCCCCTGCTAGTATAGGATCGGTGAAGCCCAGCTGTGACCTACCCAGAGCCCGCACCTCCCTCTGCAGCCTGGTGCCCAGCTGCCTTCGGCCTTGGGTTCCCTGCACTGCGGAAGCCCAGGGCCGTTGAGCAAGGACTGCGGTGGGCTAGTTGTCTCAGAAGAGGGGCTGGCTGTGGCCGGGCGGTGCCCGAGGAGACAGACGGGCCGGCAGGTGGGAGGGAAGTGACGGGGTGGCCAGGTCTGTCGGGGACGATTGAAGAACCGAGTGGCTTGAGAGCGGGGCAGCGCTGAACGAGCCCCCTTCCTCCGTCTCACGCCAGGAGCTGGAGCTGATGGAAACCATCCTGAAGAGCAAACCGGAAGGGCCCGAGAGCTGGGACCAGCGGAGCTCCGTCAGCGTCCGGGCGTCCTTCGCCCGCACCGAGAGGAACCGGCTGCTCTGGGAGGACGTGAGCGTCATCGAGGAAGATGCCACCAAAGTGACCGCGCTGAAGCTGAGGCTGGATGAGTCCCAGAAGGTGTTGCTCAAGGAGCGGGAGTAAGTGCTTCCTGTTATATCACTTCCTGCCCACGCGCGACACCCAGGGCAGGGCAGGGGCTCAGCGCTGGACTTGGACCCTGCCTCAGTTTCCCTGAGTCCAGCTTCAGCCCCTCCCCATGTGGCCTGGCCCAGGGCTGAGCCTGAAATCAGGGGAGGCTTGGTGCGTTCCAGGAGCTTGTGTAGCCGGTGCACCCACAACTGCGAGCGTGATTCTACCCGGCTCAACCCAAAGGGACGGTTTCTGCCAGCCAAACCCAGCCTGGCGGCAGGTCGCTGGGAAAGACATGAGACTGCAGTGCACTCGGTATCGGGGTGGAAAATCCCTAAAAGTGGGAGCCACCAGAGCTGGAGCCATGGCCCTGCCTGCCGCCCCTTCCCCTAAGCCCTGTCCCCCCCTTTCCCCTCCCCTCCAGTCCCCACCCCCTGCTCACTCCTCTCTACCCCCTCCCACTGTCACTCCTCCTCCTGGCTCTCCCGCTTTTAAATGGGATGCTGGCCCGGTTTTGATAGTGGGGGTGCTGGGATCCCTGGAATCAAACTGTAAATCCTGTATAGGACAGGAGTCACTTCAAGCCAATGGGTGCTGCAGCCCCCTCCTGCACCGCCTGCCCCCCTAAATCCAGAGCCTATGGAGGGCCTGGCCCCCCGTTCCGACAGCCCTGCTCAGTTTCAGGAGTGAGCCCTCAGCTGCTGGGAAGCAGCCTTGTTCCACTGCAGTCAATGGAGTTCAGCGGGTTTAGCCAGCTGGGGCGCTTACCGGAATGCTTTACTTGGCCCGTGTGGCTGGAGCCCACCCTAGGGAGCTCTGTGGCACCCACCCCCGCCCATCCTCCCAGACACAGAGCAGTGCTGGCTACGAGAGCCCGGAGGTGGGGGGTGCAGATGGCCTCCGAATGGTGCCTCCCCTCCTCCCCCCGTCTCCTGCCATGGCTGGAGTCCTCCCTGCCTCCCCCCTGCCACACCCTGACCCCCGTGGTCTCTTCCAGGGACAAGCTTTCGCTCAGCAGGAGCATCGAGAAGCTGGAGGGCGAGCTCAGCCAGTGGAAGATCAAGTACGAGGAGCTGAGCAAAACCAAGCAGGAGGTGCTGAAGCAGGTGAGGAGCGGCGGGGCCGGACGGGGGCTCGTGAGCCACGATCCCGCTTGCACACCCCGAGGCCTGACGAGGGGAGGTAGTGTGTGGGGGGGGGCCGTTTCCCTCCTGCTCTGCCTTCTGGCTTGCGGGCCCTGGGACTATTAGCGCGTAACCGCCACCGGGGGGCGCCCTGCTCCAGGAAACCCTCCCGGAGTGGTGCTGTTCCGCCCAGGGAAGTCTCAGCACCCGGTGGCCAGGTCTGTAGCTGCCAGGCTTGGAGGGCCGGGCAGGCCTGTGCAGGAGCCGTTCCCTGCTGCCATATGCAGTGACTGCAGCCTGCTCTGGGGTGCCCGGGGCCCGGCCCAGCATGCACGTTGTGCAGGGCCATAGCGCACCTGGCAGGTCCAGCTGAGAAGCAGATTTGAAGGCTCCTGGTTACATCAAACCCTCTGCCCCCTTCCGGGTCCAAATCAGTCCCCGGCTGCTTCCTGATTCCAGTCCGGGGCCTGGTGCCCCACATGGGGGCTGCAGCGACCGGTCTCCATCTCTGTCTCCTCTCAGCTGAACATCCTGAAGGAGCTGCACCAGGACGAGCTTGGGCGGATCTCGGAGGACCTGGAGGACGAGCTGGGGGCTCGCTCCAGCATGGACAAGAAGCTGGCGGAGCTGCGCACAGAGGTGAGAGGCAGCGGGGGGGGGGGCATCTCCTGCATCTGGCTGAGATTTCACAGCCCACGGACAGAGTTCACAGGAAGGCTGATGAGCACCGGGCACTGTGGCTCGGCAAACCCCCTTGAGAGAGTCAAATGCCGCCCCGCTGATTAGCTGCGCGCCCGTAGCCAGCAGCATGTGCTCGTATTGGTGGTGCGTTCTGCACATCCCTTGGTGCACTGAACAAAATTTATTGCACACGGGTTGAAAAAATGAGCGGGAACATTGCCATGGCTCCCATCTGAGAGCTTTGCACAGGGCGCTCAGAGCTCATGCCTCAGACAGATGCACAGGTCTGTTTCTACCCATACGCCCTAGGCAGCTGCATGCTGCATATGGGCTCCTGCGGCCAGCCCCAGCCCCCGACTAGGCCTTCCACGTGGGCTCAGTGCCGGCTCCAGCAACCCCCAGTCTCCTTCCCCGGCTGGGCCGCCGGGCCTGCGCTGGGG